GAAGTTGCCTACAATAATGCAGTCCACTCCAGCACAGGTTACACTCCTTTTCAAATAGCCACCGGTCAAAGTTTCAACCCCATGCCAGAATTAACCCCAAACGAACCAACGATCCCCTCGCTGAAAGAATGGATGGAAAAATTACAAAACACCTGGCCAATAGTCAGAAAAGCACTAGATGAAGCTAGGCAGGCTTACAAAACACAAGCCGATAAAAAAAGGGTTGAGCCTACACCATTCATTATAGGAGAGATGGTGTACTTATCTACAAAATACCTAAAGTCCCTACAGCCCTGTAAAAAACTTGGACCAAAATACATAGGACCTTTTCCAATTAAAAGAATCATAAATCCAGTAACAGTAGAACTAGAGTTACCCAAAAATCTCAGGCAAATACACCCAATTTTTCATTGCAGCTTGCTGAAAAGAGAGCATCAGTCACCTCTACGGCCAAAAATCCCCCCCCACCACCTCCAATCATGGTGGAGGGTGAACAACACTTCGAAATAAAGGAAGTCCTTGACTCTAGGAGATATCATGGAGCAACTCAGTACCTAGTTGCCTGGAAACACCTCCCTCCCTCACAAAATGAGTGGGTCCATAAACGTCATGTCAGAGCCCCGAAGCTATTGAAGAAGTTTCACACAGAGTATCCTAACAAGCCTAACTAAATTTTTACTTGCGTTTTCTTTCAGGTGGATCTCTCTTATTGTTAAGAGGGGCCGGATGTCAGAATCCAATTATATTTCATCTTTAAATTATCAAATATAGAAACTCCCAATTCTGCCTTCTCTGGATTCTGCCATAAGAGGGAGAGAAGGGGGAGAGCAAAGGGGCTTTATGGCCCTCACTTCCTTCTTTACACTTCAAAGAGCTGAATGTGTGTTTATTGTAACCTCTAAGCGTTAACATATCAAAGAAGGGTAATTGCCTTTCATGTAGTATCTGAAGTCTCCATCCAGACGGAAGAAAGAAGAAAGGAGGTGGAATTGTGATACTTGAAACTATCACTGGAAGGGGGGTTGATTGGGTGGGACTACTGGGGAACCCCTTAAAACCTTGAATGGGAGAGCTTGGACCCCAAGTCCTGTCTAGCATGCCTGCAACCATTTTCTCTTAATAAAGGATTCCTGTTGGAAGAATTATTCCAAGAGTTCTGTCTTCTTAAGATGCAAAGTGGGGTGGGTCCTTACAGCATGTCTGCATGTGCGTCTCATTGCGTGGGCACACCTGTGCATTTGTGTGTATGTGTGTCTCTGCATGCGCATATCTGTGTATGAGTGTGTGCGTGCATCTGTGTGCATGTGAGCATGTGTGTGTGCATGCATGTGCGTTCCTCAATCTCTGTGCATGTCTCTGCGTGCATGCGCATGTCTGTGTTTCTGTGCATGAGAGAGTGCAACTGCGTGCGCGTCTGTGTGTTAGGATTAAGGTTAGGGTTAGGGTTAGGGTTAGGGTTAGGGTTAGGAGGGGAAAGGGACAAGGAGAGGGGACTCCAAGTGCCGGGTTTGGGCGCCGGTCTAAATGGCAAGAGAAGAGAGAAAAGAAAAAAAGAGGGAAATCAGATGGAGTGCCGGGGTCGGCAGCGATCTACTCACGATCCAGGGGCTGCTTAAGCGCAGCTGCCCAGCCACTCGCACACTGCGTGTCTGTGTATGCATACATGTCTGAGTGCATGTGTGCGTTTCATTTTGTGTGCGTTCATCTGCGTCTGTGCGTGAGTCTCTGTGCATGTGTGTGTGTGTGTGTGTGTGTCGGTGTGTGCGTGTCTTTGTGAACGCATGTCTCATTACATGTGCATGCATGTCTATGTGTGCGCTTCTGTGTGCGAGTGTGTGCGTGCGTGTCTCATTGCATGGGCATGCGTGCACATCTGTATTTGTTACCACATGCGCGTGAGTCTCTGCATGTGTGTGCGCGTGTGTGAGCGTCCGCGATTGCGTGCATGTCTGTGTGCATTTCATTGCATGTGCATGTGCGTTTGTGCGTGAATCTCTGTGCGTGCGTGTCGATGTATGCGTGTCTGGGTGCGAGCGTGTGCATGTGCATCTCATTGCATGTCCGTGTGTGTCTGTGCATGTACATCTTGTGCGAGTACTTGAATGCACATCCTTGCATGTGCATGCATGTGTTTTAGTGTGTGCGCCATGTGCCCATGTCTCTACGCATATGTCCGTGCATCTCATTGCATGTGCGTGTGTGTGCGTCTGTCCGTGAGTCTCTGCGCATTTGTTTGTGTGCATGTAGAATGTGTGTATGTGTGGTAGCGCATGCGTGCGCATCTCATTGTGTGTGCATATCTGTGCATGTGTACGCATGCATGTTGTGTATGTGTGTATGTGTGCAAGCACATGTGCACACATATCATTGCATGTGCGCGCATCTCATTGTGTGTTCATGCATGAGCATCTGTGTGCACATGCCATGTGCGCGAGTCTCTGCGTGTGTGTGCATGAGCAGGCATGACTGCGTGTCTGCGTGTGCGTCTCATTGCGTGTGCACGCCTGTGTGTGTGTGTGTGTCTGTGCATGCCCATGTCTCATTGCCTGTGTGTGTGTGCATGTGCGGCTGCGTGCACGTGTAGTGTGAGTGTGTATCTCGGAGTGTGCGTGCACGTGCGGGTCTTTGCGCATGCACATCGCGTGGGTGTATCTGTGCATGTCTGTGTCTATGTACATGTGCCCACGTGCGCGTGTGTGCATGTATATGTATATATGTGTACCTATGTATGTGTGTACAGATAGATGATAGATATAGATAGATAGATAGATAGATAGATAGATAGATAGATAGATAGATAGATAGATAGATAGATAGATAGATAGATTTGTTAGGGTTAGGGTTAGGGTTAGGGTTAGCGTTAGGGGGGAAAGAGACAGGGAGTGGGGACTTTAAGTGCTGGGTTTGGGCGCCGGTGTACTCGGCAGAGGAGGAGAGAGAAAAGAAAAGAAAAGGAAAGGAAAGGAAAGAAAAGAAAAGAAAAGAAAAGAAAAGGAAAGAAAAGAAAAGAGGGAAATCACACCGAGTGCCGGGTTCGGCACTGTTCTACTTGCGATCTGGCGGGCCGCCAAAGCACAGCTGGCCAGCAAACCAAGGATCCCCTTAAATATGTGCTCCATTAGTACGTCATTGATTAATTGCATCAAATTCTGCAGGCCCCCCAAATGGCAAGACTTTGAATTGGTAGCACCTCACTGGGCTGTTAAATGTGGTCTTCCATTTATCCCCTTCCGTAATTCTCACGCGATAGTACGCTTCCCTTAGATCAGTATTTCTCACCCTTGACAATTTTAAGGTATGTGGACTTCAACTCCCAGAATTGGAATTCTGGGAGTTGAAGTCCACATGCCTTAAAATTGTCAAGGCTGAGAAACACTGCCTTAGATCAAGTTTAGTAAAAAAAATTCCTTTCGACAGGTGTGATCACATGTCCTTCATGAGGGCTAGGGGGTATAGGTTTCACTGATTATAGGAGCCTATAATCCATGCATAAGCATAAAGAGCCGCCCTTCTTCTCTCTAAAGAGGACCAGAGCGGCCACTTTTCGATGAACCCTCTTTCTAAGTTTTTCTTTATGAATCTTTCCATTTCCTCCTTCTCCTTTGGGCTCATGGAGTATAATCTGGGCTTTGGGAGTTTTGCTCCGGGCTTGAATTCTATGGCACAGTCTGTGGGTCGGTGGGGGGGGAAGCTCATCCGCCCTCTCCTCGCTGAAAACTTCAGCAAGATCTCTGTATTCCTCTGGTGTTTCTGGCAGCTCCTTTTCCTCTCCCATGGATTTGTGGGGTAGAAGGGGTAAAAGAAAAAAGAAAAAACATTCTGACTATGTTTAGCACAGTAGAAGATAATACTATTACAGTTTCAGCATTTTGCTTTTACACAATAATATATACTAGCCACTTCTATAACAACAAATTTATTTAGTCAGCAAAACCAAAATCAAAGTTTCATTTTTTCCAGCACAAATACCTGTCCTGTTTGGTTGCTATGTCAAACCAAACAGAAGTACAAATGATATCGGGTCTGTCATTTGCATAACTGTCTGGTTTGATACAGCAACCAAACAGGACAGGTATAGATTTCAATGGATAGTTGAAAAAAACAATCACAGCCAGCCTGCCAGTGTACAAGCCTGAAAGAGGGCTGTGAAAATATCTACAGACTTCTCACATCCTGGAAATAAATTGTTTCAACTCCTCCCCTCTGGACACTGCTATAGGGCATTGCATGCCAAAAAAACAAGACTCAGTTTTCCCCCATACCATCACTCTGCTGAACACTTAATTCTCCCCGTGCTGTCTTGGGCCTAAGGATACCTAATCTGTAGTAGGACTGTATTACTATTATCCTTCTCACCTTTCCTATTACCTACTCCTGTTGGTATCTTATGACTATCACTAGTTGGTTGTATCTTATGATTTATTATCATTTTTTCCTTGTATGTATACTGAGAGCTTCTGCACTGGAGACAAATTTCTTGTATGTTCAATCTCACTTGGCCAATAAAGAATATTCTACTCTTAAAAATATACTGTATATATCCAGAAGTTGTTTCCAAATGGAAACAAACATAGATATGTTCTTTTCTTTGAATTTAATCATCTCTACTTTTTTTCCTTGCTGTGGGAAATATTTATTTCTATTTGTAGAAACCCTGCGGTTGTAAAATACTATCTGCTTGCTTGATGCCTCAACTTACAAATGGGAATGCTTACTGTGCAAATTCTGATTTCTGTTGTAACTAGACTACCTGTGCGATATGGTCTCTACTTGAGTGCAAATTAAAAAGGAAAAGAAAGACACACAGGGAATGGCTCCTTAACATGTTCACCACTGAAAAAGGGACATCCTGATGACCGGAGCCAAATGTTTTTTCAAAACTCAGGAATTTTGCATGGAGCGAAGAACCTGTTCCATGAACTTGGGAGAGAAAACACATCTACCTTTGCAAAGGGGCTTCTTGGCCTCCTCAAAATACAAACTACCAAGCAATTCAGGTAAAGCAAAAAGCGTTCATTAAGAGGGGGGAATCAAGTCTTTTTATAGGGTATAGAAGCAAAGGATACGTACATTCGGTACATGTGATACCAGTAAGCACATGATAAAACAATAAGATACAATACATTGATTGCTTGTGATGTTTGAACACTAGAAAACATTGATTCTAATGTTAAGCTAACATTCCACAAATGACAAAATTATGGGTTACATTGCTCTTTTCCACTTAGGCTTGTATCTTTTGTGAAAGTTGCAAGTGCATCCAAGGACTTTCAGAATACGCTTTCTATTCTGTAGTTGCTGAAAAGATGAGTTCTTGCATAAGAAAGAAATGGCCTTGACTAAAAGAAAAACATGCTTTCTTATTAATAGAGAAGCAGCCTGAACTGCCATGTTAACAGTACTAATATCACCTTTTAAAAATGTTAATAAAGAAGCCTAAAATTGGAGGCAACACAAGGACCACCCTCAGCCCCGCCCACCCGCCGTCCTCCATTCCTGGTATGTACCTAATCCTAACCCTGACCCATCCCTTATCCATGTGTTATTTTAAATCCAGCATAGATTTTACCCCAAGTCTTAATAAACCATTCAGCATATTTCCCCAATGAACAGTATTCATTGCTAGCATTATTTATTGTAGGTCATTTCCAAATTCACATTAAGTTAACTTGATTTCATGTTCTCCATTATTCTTACATCTGTAACTCTATGTGAACAGCAAAAAGAAAGGGGGGCAGGCAAACCCATAAAGTTTGTCACAGATCTCAGTGCTTCTAAGTATTTAACACTTTTCCCATCTCCTCTCTTTATACTCACCCATACGCAAAATGTTAAAGAAAGAATACAAATCACATAAACACATTCAGAGTGCAGCTCTGCCTTCTTTGGGATCAAAGAACTTACAATGATGTGTACTGCAGCTGACTTTGAAGGTAAGGCATCAGAATATTCAAAATGCTGAGCGTGAAGCCTGAATAAGCCAGGCATTTCCAGGAATCAGAAGCAAAAGGGATGGAACAGAAAATGTAATGATTATGTATTCACAACAGTATCATAAACAAAATTAAATAAACTCAGGGAAGCATAAAATATTAGAAAATAAAGAGTGCAAGTGTACATTGCAAAAATAACACTAAAAAACCTTTCAAACAAGAAAAAGTAACTTCTCTGGGATATATTAATATCGTGCAGCTTGAGCCAAGGAGAATTTAAAAAAAACAAAACTCAAGCTTAGCAAAAGAATGAGAAAGTGCCTCATCGTAACAAATCATGACTTTAGAACAAATAATACAATTCTTAAGGCAAACATGGCAATTAACAAATAATTATAATATAATTGTAATTATTTAATGCAATGAGGTATTTGGAGAAACTAGTCAAAGTAATGCCCAGCCTGTCTGTTCAGAGGATTCAAGCCACTTGCAAAGAACCTTTGGGTTGCTGGCAAAAAAGCAGAACTCAAAGCAAAACTCTTTTCCTTTGTTAGCAGGCAAAAATCACCATTGTGATTCCTTTTATTTTTCATGGCCATTCCATTAGGCTGAGGTATTCAGAGAGTATCTATACAGTAAGGTCTAAAGAGGTCAAAAGTGGTTTAATGCTTTGGTTCAAGCAAGGCACTCGTCCAATTTAATGTGATTTGCAACCTGTTCTCATAGAGTTTTATTGTACTGTTATTGAAAGAATAGTGTAAACATTATGTTGCCATTGTACAGTTAGAAAAGTAACTTTATAGATAGAAAATGCAGTTTAGTAGCACAAGTTCCCTTTTCAGATGCAGGCTATGTGTAAAAAAAATCTTTGGTATTCATCAGTGTAATTAAAATCACCCATGGAAAATGGAGTGAGGTAGCATCTCTGTTTCACATGATAAATGGTATGGGATAACACTTTTCTTTTTTTAATTGTAGGCGTAAGTATTCTTGATTTTGCTTCTTCCAGATAACTTACAGTGCTTATTGTAAAATCAACCATATGACACAATAGTATTTTGAAAGGAAAATCTGCATAATGATTGTAAGTTTCTGAATATATCAGTACAACAGCTTGATAGAAATGTGCCATTACATTCTCTTTGCTTGATAAAGGTTGTTAAGCGAATCTGGTTTCCCTCATTACTTGTTGGAAACCATCTGGGAAGATTCCAAATGATGATCACATGACCCTGAGACAGTGCAACCATTATAAATACATGCCAGTTTTCAAGTGCCCAAGTTTTGATCACTTGACCATGGGGATGCTGCAATGGTTGTAAGTGTGAAAAGCCAATCATGTCACTGTTTTCAGTGCCATTGAAATTTTGAATGTCACTAAATGAATGGTTGTAACTCAAGGACTATCTGTATAGATAGTCTTAATCTATAAATACCAAAATGCACATTTATGCAGGTAAAACCAACTTTCAAAATTCCCTTCTTATTGCCTATTTCTTTTTGACCTATATTTGCCATGAGTACTATAATGCCACAATGACTATCAATCTTGCACTGTAAATAAAAGGTTGTTTGTTGCAATCTTGTAAAAATGTTTTTTAATAATTTTTCCCGTTTCCTATTTTCCCTGTGCCTTTTTAAAATTCAGTAATGAACCATTTTACCATTTTTCTAGTCACGTGGAAATAATAACTTGTTCATGATGCACATGAAGAAGTATTCCTTCCACTATAAAGTAAACAATAGCCTGCTGAGTTAGTCTGCAATAAACTGAGAGAAAAAAATGAATGCAGAAATGAATGAAGAATGACAGTGTTAATTTTCATGTTGTAACTTTCTGCTGACTAGATAAGGAAGTTACCTCAGCACACAAATTCCAGCATGTTCCAATAGAGTAGTAGAGATTGTCATCTGTATGACTTGCTGTGTAAGAAATGTGATGCAAACAAAGCCAAAGTTGGCTTCCTTGGGAACATGCCCTTAACATACAGATCATTTAGTGGGCATGAGAGCAGATGATTCTAAAGCCATCCCAACATCACTGTATCTCAGGAGAAAAACCATATTGTACAGCCATCTAATGAGCCGAGGTGGCGCAGCAGTTAAAGTGCAGTACTGCAGGCCACTGTAGCTGACTGTGTTCAGCAGGTCAGCGGTTCAAATCTCACCGGCTCAAGGTTGACTCAGCCTTCCATCCTTCCGGGGTAGGTAAAATGAGGACTCAGATTGTTGGGGGCAATGTAAATATATATATACATTGCTTACTGGTGTACACCGCAAGCTGAGAGAGTGCTTGCACTTAAAGCGGTATATAAGTCTCATAAATAAATAAATAAATAAATCTTCTTTATCCCACCTTCATGGTGACAGACTAAACTGCAGTGTTCTTGGACCACTTGGCTGGAGATCTGATATTCCCTTGTTGCTGGGTTGTTGTCCAAGAGGCCATGCTGAAGACTTGTTTATGAGGTCTTCTCATGGGAAGTGATATTCATTTTCTTTATTTTTGTAGATATTGCATGGATACTTCCAAATCATAATCATATCTACTTTCAATTACTGGGGAGATTAATAGTACAACAAACAAACAAATAATAATAAAATAATGAGTATCTTGGATGGGCTCTAGACCACTTCTTGTCAGTTTTCTGCTCAGAGCTAAGCCTGCGTTCCAGGATTTGGCATTTTAAATCATTCCAATATTATGGGCATAAACTATATAAATGCAGGCATGCATCTAAAATAGACAGCATTTGAAAGTTGGACTAAAGTACACTTATGAAGAAGATTAAATATAAAAAAGATTTCTGAGATGCAGAAAGACAACCTGAGTTTCACGTGGGTGTGAGCTATATGCTTTGATCGCTTCTGGAAATCAATGAAAAATATTTTCACAGCTACCGGTAGAATAACAGTCTGTCTTGTGTGTTGTTACTATTAATTAGTTTATCCCTAAACTCTGCATAGAATTGAATGTAAAAATAGCTTTGAAGTAGTAAAATAATCACAACAAAATACCAACAGTATATTAAATGTTTTCTTTGGTACTATTTTGATCCTTTTGCAAGGAAACCATGGTTTGGGGAAAGGTATAGCTCTATTTCTAAGCAAACAAAGAGAATGTAACTGGTTTGCATAAAAGTCAAAATGTCTTTACCTTCTTTCAACTTGTATTCAGAGTCTACTGTATATTGGCAGACCATCAACATGAACCATATTGTTAAAATGAATATTAACTTGCGGCTTTAGGCTTCTGATTGCCCTGGAAAACTTCCTTGCTACTGTTGCATCCACTAAATGTTCATCTCTGTGGTTTTGCCATGGACACGAGGAGCTATATCTGAGGACATCTATTTTGATAACAAATTATCACCATGCTCCAACATTAGATGATTAAAGAGTGTGGGTTAAGTGCAAGAATAAAGGGAAGATGTAAAAATCAGTTTTCTCCCTCAATTTCCTTCTAACAATTTTGTTTTGCAAGCCATTCTATGAATTTTTTTTATTTAGAGCGAATTCAAAATCAGATGAAATAAGTCTTTGGCTTCTTTGGACATAAATAATGTTAAGTATAAACCTGCTTTCTTGAGGTCCTGCTCATTTGTTTTAGTAATAATAATAATAATAATAATAATAATAATAATAATAATAATAATAATAATAATAATAATATATTAAATGTATATACTACCCAACTCTTCAACTCTGGGTAGTTTCAAAGCTATTCCACCAAGACTACATTTGCAGCCCTTCCTTTAAGCTTTGGTACAAGTGCTAGAAGAAGAGGACAAACTGCCTGAGTCGGCACAGCCCTCAACTTGCCATTTATCTAGGCTCCTCCGTCGTGCGTTCATGAAGAAATTGCTAACGGTGCTCAGTTCCAGCCCCAACTGATGGGAAATGGTGATCTGTAATTCTTTGGAAGGACGTTTATTTTCCTTGAATATTGCATAGAGAGTTCGGCGCTGAACATCAGTAAAGACCAGTCTGGGTTTTTTGAGTGCATTTCCTCGGTCTTTCCCTTGATCTTGCTCCTTCTGTTTACAAGCTGCAATATTATGAAGAAATCACTTTCAGACTTGGGATAGATAAGAGTTAGAGGGATTTTTTTCCGATAACAATCTACTAAAAGAATTTTAATAAAGAAAGGCTGCATTTTTAAAGTAAAATGTTTACAATGCAGTCTTAAAAATACCAGAAAAACCATTGAATGGAGTTCAATCGAATTCATTCTTCACCAGACAGGCATATATTACTAATTTTCAAGGTTTTTAAGATGTAAGTGACTGTGAATTGAATGGCTACAGCCATTAGGATGGACAGGCCAATCAATATTAAGTTTGGGGAAATGGATTAAAAAGGCTGCAGTGACACATAGACCAAAACAAGGCAGTTAGGCTGAACCCCACTTTGTGAGATTATTTCAAACAGTAGTTTGTCTTAGAAAAAGCCAAAATCATACACATATTACGTTTAAAATGTGCATATATTTTCTATTGTTTAGCACTAATTTTCCACTACTCCAGTTCAATAAGACCTGACATCAATGTTCAGATCCATGAAACCATGAAGAAAATCCTGAATTAGCCCTCAGATCTTTCAAAGTTGGTCTGGTAGCAGGCAAGAAAGGAGGGCTTGAAATCCTGGGACATTCTGGATCCCCGCTTCTCAAAGATTTTGAACATTTCCTGTCCTTAGAGAAAGGTCAGATCTCTTCTTCCAAAGTTAGAGGCAAAACCATCATGGGGAGAAACGACCTGGTCTCTGGCTCCTGGGACACTCTAAAAAGTTTTATAGGAGTCTCTGAATTGAGACTTCATTAATATTTAAACCCTGTTGATTGCATGGGGCCTTGCCAGGTTTTCTCCTGACCCTAGATGAGATCCCTGCATGAGGAGGTGCGGGGAGGTTTTGCTTGGTTTTGGATTGGGTTCCAATCCCACATCTTAAACTGAGCACTGTACATTTTGCATTTGTGTCAGTTCATTAAGAGAGAAGTGAAGGCCAGCAGACAAACACAACCAGATAGAACAATTAATCAGTGAAATGGCTTGCCTTCAGAAGTTGCGTAGGCTCCATCATTGGAGATTTTTAAGAAGAGATTGGACAGTCATTTGTCCAGAATGGTATAAGATCCCCTTTTTGTGCAGAGGTTGGACTAGAAGACCTCCAAGGTTCCTTCCAACTCTGTTATTCTGTTAAATTCTGTTAAAACATTTCTTACTTTTAAGGACAGGTTTATACCCTACAGAAAAAGGCAAGAATTATCTGTTCCCAGCAGCAGCAACAAAGCTGAGCAACCTATACTAAAAAACATATTTATGGCCAGAATCTCTTGAAACACTTGTAGAGATTTCACACCTCCTCTTAAAGGACAAATGTCATTTCCTGAGGATTAATGACAGATGACTTTATTATGAGTACACCATTTGCCTTTGAGATGAATCATCAATCTGATCTAATGTGAAATATTTAGGAAAATCTGTTTGATATTCAAAATTAACTTTTAAATGTTCTAGTCATTAGCCACCTCCACATTTTAAAAAAGGAAAATTGGAATTCAATTCTATTTTTTGCCACAGGTATTTCTACATGCCAATAATATTAATCACAGTGACAAGCACTATGCCTCTGGTCAGAATATAATCCCAATATAAATGTACTGATGTGCAATATTTCTCACTTTTTTATACAATTCAATGAAGCAATAAAGTTAAATAAAGTGGACTCCCAGTTTTCCATATTACTTGCACCCGCTAGATGGCACTTCATTTCTGAAAACGAGAAAAGAATACAAGAGTCTAAAGATGAGCTTTGGAGCGGCATTTATTATAGTGCCTGGCCAGTGAACTGGGATGAAAACTACACAATTCAAGTCACTTTTGGTGTCCACACTGGTTAGGGAAATGATCACAATGTTAATACCAGGAAAAGCAACAATAAGCATTTCTCCAACAAAAAGCTTTATTTTGCTTAAGTGAGGACAAGGTGGTGAGTGAACATAACAAGAGCGGGCACCCCAGCTTCCTCCACTGCCTGAATGCAGCAGTTAGATCTAAAGAGCAGAGCTGTCAGGCCACCAGCTGCAAGCCATAAAATCCTCTGGAAGAAGAAGAAGAAGACCCTGTGGTGAATAGCATAGCTCCTTTCCCAAGCAAGTTATTTCTCTGTTCATTAGGAACATCCTACACCTACATTGGGGGCCTGTATCCACAAATGGGAATGCTGTCTTGGGCCAGTGAGGCTTTGGCCTTGCCTTCTCTCTCAGAGGTGGAGGAGTCAGTCTCACAAGAGCCTCATCCAGT